AGAGAATCAAGATAGTTAATGTCCACAGACCTGGGCCCATTAAGGTTTTCAAGAGCCATTATGACTACATGCAATTTTTGCTCCAGAGTGTCACCCAGTGTAAGATGTAATGTACTGGATAAAGCAGATTCAGCATTTGATGCATTATTGTGCTAAGTGGCTGAGGTACTGAAAATAAGCAAGATATATGTGAAAATCCAAATTTATAGTGGGAATTCAGACTCTAAACTCTTAATATGATGACTCTAAGTGTCATAACTTCTGCCCCATACTTTAGAAGTCATCATTTAAAGATCATATTACTTCAGTAATCATGGGAATCTATAAATTAGTGTATCAGCTATCTGTCTTCACTCAAGTATCAAGTAGTGATTCCGTCAATGGAAGTCTATACTTTTAAAATGGTATTCATTTGAAATAGTGGTGGTTTCTCTCAGCCATCACTAGTAAGCAGAGAGCTCATTTGTTACTGGAGCCAGTGAACAAAAAGATTCAATGATACAATTAAAGAGTTTTAACCTATTTTTAAATATATGTGCAAAGTTGTGGATCATTATGTGGCAGTAATAGACTCTGATTATATTTATAAAATAGAGGAAATAAAAAGGTTCATAGTGAAAATTTGAGGTCAGTTATTCCTATTATCTATTCTTCATGTCTCAGAAAGTAAAGCTACCCTCTTTTTTTTCTTTTTTTAAGGAACTGGTTGTTGCTTCACGGTGCCTTGTAGATGTATAGCTCTAGTGCTCAGTCACTGATAGCTAAGAAATCTGCTTCCAAGAAAGGGCATGAGGAGCAGGAAGCAGGCAGGGGTTAGTCCCCTTTGCTCTTGCTCCTGCTGGCACTGCCTCAACTAATACAACTGACTCCTTTATAAGGGCCTCATAACTGGGTGAGTTCACCTTCCTTGGTCTAGAAACAAGGCTTCAAAATCACAGTATCTGTCAAGAGAAAATGGAACAGGAAGCATGACAGCCTCTGCATTGGGATAACGCCTCAGAAACCAAACTGCTGCTATGACCGCGTCAGTAATCGCTTGGCTGCACAGAAACCTCCCAGATATTTAGTTTTAGGAGTCACAGCAGGTGCCAGAAACAGCAACCACATCTCTGTCTCTAAATCCTACCTCCAAGACCCTTATAAAATGCTGCTAAAATCCTCCTGAAGTCCCTCACCCGTCACCAGCCAGGTGCTGCTGATGTTCTGTACCTCTCTGTGGTACTTACCACTTCATACTTCGTACAATAGGTAGTTATGTGTACATCCCATCTAGTGAGCCCAACTTCAAATTCCTTACCCATGGATCGTGCTCAGTAAATATTTTTTGACTCAGTCAGCCCAGTGTTCTGTAAGTAGTCTCTGCCCTGAGTTAGCATGGGTATTAACTGAACCATGGCATGACAGACTTTCAAACCCACTTCCTTTATAAAGAGATAAAAGATTTCTAAATCAGTATCAGTCATTGAATGGATTCCTATGTAGTGTATTTTTATTCTGACAGGTAGCTATTGGCCACTGACTGGGTGTTTGGCACTCTGAATACAGAAGAGTACCCATTCTGATGAGAAACACAAAATCCCAACTAAATATAGTGTGCACAGTGCCAGGAACACAGTTCATAGAACATGCTATGAGCATGTAAAGAAAAGAGTAGCTAATTTTGCCTGTAGGTAGTTCAGGTCAGTGTTTCTCAACCAGGGTCTAAGTTCTACAGGATGAGTCCCAGGGCAAGTTCTGGGAATCTGAGAGATCAAGTGGCTGAATTTTAAGCACCTGTTTGATGGTCTCAGAATCCAGCAGAGCTATACGGACAAGATAAGTTGGTGTCCTTCTGTCTCTTCCCTTGTAAATTTAAGAGCCTTCTGTACTACCTTAGACCCTCAAATAGCTGTGAGTAGCTGCTTCTGTAAAGTAAATTGGAATTTTTTTTAATTGGCTTTCAATGATATGGAAACATTTAGCAACAATCTGAAATAAATTTATTTAGAGTTAAAATATATACATGCAGCCACAGGATGTACAAAATAAAATTCTGGAATATGAATAAAACTTTGTCTTAGATTAGGATGGTAAAATTCTCTGAATCTTAATACCTCTATATTGAATCACTCTACAAATATGCATTGAGTGCCTGGTGTGTGCCAGCTGCTGTTCCAGGAGTCGGGGGTTCAGCCCTGGCTCCCATCAACCGTCACCCTCCACTACAGACCTTTTCCCAGCAGCGGGGTGAAAAAGTCAGGAATCAATCTGACAGCACTGTTTTTATAGTGACATTTACCAAGCATCCAGAGACCAAAAGTCGAAGGGCAAAGTGAAGCGGAGAAATGAGGTGACTTTATGGATAATCCAATTGAGAATTCCATTTGGGAAGAGCGGACCCAAACTCCTTCTCATATCATCTGAATTATTTAAGCCCTTGTCTGAGCCCTGTTTACTCTGACCATAGTGTGCTGGGCATTTTGAGAAGCAATAGGACAAACAAATAATAATTCCTGTTCTCCAAGAAAAAAACTAATTCCAAATCCTCACATTTCTAATATAATTTAGAAAATCTAAAGTAGTACCATCTTTACAAAGTGATAAATAGGAGATTTGAGAACAAGCTTTTATAATACATCTTAAGTGAAGTTTTCCTCTGTCTTCCTAATGAAAGTTTACTAATTGCATTTTTTAAAATTGAAGTATCATTGATATACAATCTTATATTGGTTTCAAATATATAATACAGTGGTTCATCAGTTACCCATATTATTAAATCCTCACCCCCACTAGTGCAGTTGCTATCTGTCAACATAGGAAGATGTTTACAGAATCATATTCTCCATGCTGTACTACAGTCCCCATGACCAACTTACATTATGACTAAGAATTTTTGTGCCCTGTTATCCCCCTCCCCACCACCCACCCCAACCTCTCCCCCATGGTAACCACCAGTCACTTCTCAGTGTCTATGAGTATAATTGCATTTCTTCATATTAAAGTTACTATTTTAAAGTCACCATGTTATTATTAACAGCAAATGACTTGTTTAAATTATGACTAATGAACTTTTATCTATTCAGCAAGAATTTATTGAGTGCCTACTGTGTGCCAGGCCTTGGAGATACAGAGTCTGAGTTACAGGCATCAGGAAGGACCATAATCTAATAAATATTTATGATACAGTATAGTAAGTACAATCATATAAGTATGTCAAATAACTAGCAGTGACAGAGAGTGCAGAGCCACCTCTCTGGGAAGTGAAGTGGGGGTTAGGAAAGGCTTTGAAAAGCAAATGATGTGCACTGGGTTAGATGAGAAGGCAAGTTGTAAGCATCCATGGCATGCTGATAGAGAATGTATTATAACCGTCTGAGCTTATACCATAGTGCAGTAGAGTCCAAGTTGAAAAGCACCTTTTAAGTCTTCTGGTCCAGATTCCAGTCAGAAAATTATGGACAGGGAGGCAGTGTGACTAGTGCTTTGGTTTCAGTGGTGCTCTGGGGTGGCGTCTGAGACTCCCCTCCCAAACGTAGGGGTGAAAAGTGGATTTTAAACTGCTCAGGGCACCTGCTCATCATTTTTATTTATTTTATGTGTTAGTTTACATAAGTTTCCATGAGAGAAAAAAATATATAATTCCACAGCTGAAAAACACTGGCATAGAAAAAAAACATGGGTTTGTGGGGTAGCCCTATATTCATGTCCTTAGGCAAATAAATTAAATGATTTAATGTAGGAGAAAGAAATCTGTAAACTGTAATGCACTGCATACATTTAAGTTTATTTTTATGTCATTTTTGTTATAATGTGTTTAAGCCTCAGTTCCTTCACTTAAAAAAAATGAGGTTACTTCACCCAAAGTCAAGTCTCCTGAAGCTCCAGCATTATATGAGTTTCTGATTATCCAGTCTACTATTGACTATTTCTAGAGACAAGAAGACTTTTTCAGCATACTTCTATCATTGCTTTTGAAAAGACTTACTACTGGAATTAGAACATCTTGTTTTGTGAATTATAACTAGCAATTCGTTTTATAAATATATGTCAAATAACTAGCAGTGACAGAGAGTGCAGAGCCACCTCTCTGGGAAGTGAAGTGGGGGTTAGGAAAGGCTTTGAAAAGCAAATGATGTGCACTGGGTTAGATGAGAAGGCAAGTTGTAAGCATCCATGGCATGCTGATAGAGAATGTATTATAACCGTCTGAGCTTATACCATAGTGCAGTAGAGTCCAAGTTGAAAAGCACCTTTTAAGTCTTCTGGTCCAGATTCCAGTCAGAAAATTATGGACAGGGAGGCAGTGTGACTAGTGCTTTGGTTTCAGTGGTGCTCTGGGGTGGCGTCTGAGACTCCCCTCCCAAACGTAGGGGTGAAAAGTGGATTTTAAACTGCTCAGGGCACCTGCTCATCATTTTTATTTATTTTATGTGTTAGTTTACATAAGTTTCCATGAGAGAAAAAAATATATAATTCCACAGCTGAAAAACACTGGCATAGAAAAAAAACATGGGTTTGTGGGGTAGCCCTATATTCATGTCCTTAGGCAAATAAATTAAATGATTTAATGTAGGAGAAAGAAATCTGTAAACTGTAATGCACTGCATACATTTAAGTTTATTTTTATGTCATTTTTGTTATAATGTGTTTAAGCCTCAGTTCCTTCACTTAAAACAAATGAGGTTACTTCACCCAAAGTCAAGTCTCCTGAAGCTCCAGCATTATATGAGTTTCTGATTATCCAGTCTACTATTGACTATTTCTAGAGACAAGAAGACTTTTTCAGCATACTTCTATCATTGCTTTTGAAAAGACTTACTACTGGAATTAGAACATCTTGTTTTGTGAATTATAACTAGCAATTCGTTTTATAAATTGCAAATACTAGCACACAAAGCTGAGACTGTGTTGTTTGGAGAATATGGACATTTCAAAAGCTCATGATGTTTTCTTTGTTGCACAAATGCCCAAAGTCAATGCTTTAAATCTTGCTTAATGAAATATTTATGTTCTTTTGGTAGCCAGAAGTGCAACTTGCTGAAGGCTTTGATGTCTTTATGCCTAAATCTCAGCTGGACTCTATATTATCAAACTACACTCGCTCAGGAAGCCTTCTGTTTAGAAAGCTGGTGTGTGCATTTTTTGATGACAAGACTTTGGCTAACTCCTTACCCAATGGGAAGAGGAAAAGAGGACTCAATGACAACCGGAAAGGACTAGACCAAAATATTGTGGGTGCAATAAAAGGTTGGTCAGCATCATTTCATTTTATAGGTTCCGTGTTGAGCTTTGCCTTCATTCTGTAACGATGCAACTGTACTTCTAGTAAAGTAACTAAGGGCAAATTTATTTTTCCATTGGCAGTTTAACCCACTGGAGTGGCTTTAGGTGTGACCTCTGTAACTCAACACCCCAAATACCACTAGAATTTGGTATTTCAAGGTGATGTGAACTTGTTAAAATCTTAATTTAAGAGCCAGATTGATCTGTTTTAGAACCAAAAAGAAGTGTTTTTCTTAATTGACTTTTAAAATGAAGGTATTTTCTTCTCAGTAATACTAAGAACTTTATCAAAATATGATTTTGACTTAAAATTTTAGTTCTAAATAAAAGTAAAGCTATGATACTTTTTAAAAAATAAAGCATTTCTCTCTAAGTTCAGGAGTTACTCTACCAGGTCATGGCTTCTAAAAACATTTTAAATGTGAGCCAAACCCTGTGCATCCCCACACATTCTGGCCCTACTCTTCTCCCTCTAGTTTGTGACATGGCATCATACCACTTACATGCAAAGACAACCATAGGTTTCTTCCCTTCACGCCAATGAACATGTGTCTGAATTCCACTGCATTATTATAGCAGACATGCAGATGCTTGTATGAGTGGATCTCCATTTCCATTCCATTCCACATCCTTAAAGTTAGGAAATAGACCTACTTAGTACTCTTACTTAGTTAAGAAAGTTAAGAAATAGACCTATTTAGTACTACTGTCCTTATTTAGTACTCTGATAAATGTAATTTTAGGTAATAGAAGTTTTTAAATGTTATTTTCAAAAGGAATGTAAATGAATTTTCAAATATAAACGCAACTACCATGAAAATGGAATTTGGGATCAGGCCTTAATTTGCACTAGAATCACTGATGACATGTTCTTCATCGCTTCAGCCCCTGAGTTGTTTGGCTTGCGGACTGGGACTGGATACCGAGAGCCTTTTCTCCCCACTCCTGCTCCCCATTATCTTGCAAAATGAGTAAATGAACTTAGTACTGCTTTCAGGATACTTGGAAACCCACAATTAACTTTACAAAATATTACAATCTTCAAATGGAGTTAGCAAGTACCAGACAGTTTGTTCATGGCTAGAAGGATGTAAGCCTTCATTAACAGAAAATTTCTCATTCTCCAACAGAACAGTTTCACTTAAAGTGACATTTGAGTTGTATTAAATAAGAAAGCTAGAGACATCACAAACTGTGCCATTTCTGAAAAGAATGATTCAGGCTGAAGTGACACTAAAAACAAGATTACAGAATTTGAAAAATGGTCAATGATGTAACTGGGACTTACTGAAGTGAAGAAGGATCCCATTTCGATTTAATGTGGCTTGGGCCTTCTGGAAACATGAAGGTCAAAGCTGATGATGCTTTTCATGCTGGACCTTTTAAATACACTGAAATGTAGCCAGGAATTGTTTTGATTTTCTTTTTTTTCAGGACAGTGTATTAACATTGTGAAAGTGTTTGGAAATTAGAGAACCATCAATGACCATGTTCCATTTTAATGGCAATAGAAGAGTGACCCTAATAACAGATGATAATGAAATAAATATATCATTGCAAGTAGACTGATACGGGTTTATTCTACCACTTTCAGTCTAAACTGACATCATACAATATTTTGAAAAGTATATGACACAAATAGAGAACGTGCCTTAATTTTCTTGACAGCGTTTGTCTTTAGCTAGAAATAAAAATGGCAATGAAGCTTCTGCTCCTAATAGAGAATAAAGCATATTATTCAAATAAAAGAACTTAAATTTTCCATCTTACTCTGTTATTGTTGAATTAAATCTAGCCTTAAAATTCTAGAAGAAAAAACTTTAAAACAGAATTCTATCCATAAGCCACCAAACAACCCAAGTCAATAAATACTGTACATTCACTTGTTTCCTTGCAGTGTTCATTCATAAACATGTATTTTGATCTAGATTTTTTTCCTGATTACAAAAATAATGCATGCATGTAAAAAAGCAAAATCATAAAACCATATTGAAAGCTAAAAGTCACCCATAATCCCACTCTTTGGAAGTTACTATATCCATTCCTACAAACTTTTTTTCCCTAAAACCTCTATTCAAAGTATGCATATGATATCAGATTTATCCTCTTATAAGAACATTCTGTTCCTACTGGTCAACCAACATTTTTACCTGACTTTTTCTGATCATTCTTTGAATGATCATTTCTTTGTCCTTTGATCAAAGGACAAGCTTTGTCTTGAGTATTTTTCATTGCCTGTTGCGTATCACCAAGAGTTTTACACATAGTAAGGTTTGTTTCCATAAATATATGTTGTGTGAGTGAAGAAATATAGTTTTTATTTTTCACCTTGACTTTGGCCTTAATTTATTGATATGATAGGCCTGGTACAAAACAGCCATACTCATGTCTTCTCACAACTAACTTGGAATGATTGACATCAAAACAGCATTGCAAATTTCTACCAGCTAATAAAATGCCAATGAAAGCAAAAAATGGAAACCAAAATGCAATATAAATTTAATACAACTCCCTTAATTCCCTAATACTTTTTTCCTTTACTTATGTAACCATACTTTGAGTAACTAAAAGTTTATAAGCCCACATATTATAATATAAACTGGCATTTGGAAGTAGTTATTAATTGAAGGTCTTAGAGAGTAACTATGCCCAGTTTTTCTTGCTATTAGTAGAGATAAAAGGAGAAATTTAATCCTGTCACCCAAGTCTTTTGAATGAGTAATTTGGGAAACTGATAAAATAGTTTATTTCTACATAACAGTCAAGGCTACTTGTGTTGCTATTGCTATCTACCACATACTTTGAAAAGATTTTGCAGATATTAAATACTGTATTAGTTTGAAAAGCTCTAAAAACCTAGGAATAAATGAAAAGTAGTCAATTTCATAGAATATTTAAGTAAAAATAACAGTAGGGGCTATATTTTGTTTTAAAGTGGTTAGGTTTGTTAAGACAACAATGGAAAAAAAGATGAAAATCTGTAAAATGTTTATAAATAAGGACTCATTAATGAACCAAAAAGAAAAAGAGTTTACTGTGGGGATTTTAACAAAGTTTTTTATACAGATAATTAATGTTCCTCATGACAGTGTCTTGAAAATAAAATACAAGCCTCTTTGTAGAGATCACGTTTTTCACATATTCTTATCTGTTTTATGGTGGCTAACACTTACTGGTAATTCATTAAAAGTTCATTTATGGGTGTGACCCAAGGTATTGATGATGAAAGGATCTTTAATTAGAAACAGTCACCTGAGTCCTTTGAGTTTACCTCTGGTAAGAAGAAACTTGTGATCTTATTAAGAGGGGTCTTAAGTTTTAATGCTAAAGATAATTCCATATCTTGAATTTGATTCAGAATTGACTTTACAGCCAGAATACAGAGTGGAGGTCAGTACTCAGGTATGTCCTCCTCACTTGATGCTGTACTTGCTTAAGACCATCGGGTTCTTGATATCATATATCAGGAGACCACGTGGCTTGACTTAGTGAGAGTTATCTAAATATTGATATAATCATAGGATCTCTGAATACTCTTCGGAAAATACAGTTGCAATAAAGCAGTTTTTAGAATCTGGGTTATGATTTCTAATTCACCTCCATAGTGATTAGTTGAAAAAGTTTTATTACTATCCATCTATACTATATTCCTTTTTAAAAAATTCCTAGGTATTTTATTCTTTTTGTTGCAATTATAAATGGATTGATTTCTTAATTTCTCTATCAGTTAATTATTTATATACAGAAATGCAACAGATTTCTGTATATTGATTTTGTGTCCTGGGATTTTACGGAACTCTTTAATTAGTTCTGGTAGTTTTTTGATAATCCTAGATTCTTGATTTCAAAGAAAATTGTGTGCTTTCAAGTGAAAGGACTAGTTGGCTGTTCAGCCTTTACTCTGGGTGATACAGGCATACAACCAACTCCTGTTCTCCTGGGAGGCAGTCAGTGCTGGTGCTCTGCCAAGAGAGCCACCAGGGATCGGAACATCCCTGGGAGGGAACACTCCTGGGTGGGTGGCATGTCCAAAACTTAGCAATGTTTCTTGCAATATTAGAAAGCCTGAGCACATCTGACATCACCCTTTCATGGGCTCTGCTAAACTGAACACCAAAACCTTTCGTTTTATTCCAGCAATTCTAGGGACTTGTAGGGTCTGTATTTGTCATTTTAGCATACCTTTGTTTTCCATTTTTATTGAACACTACCATTCAGTTCATTGGGATTTAATCAAGAAAACTGAATAGCTGTTTTCTGTTTGATCTCACATAAACTTAAATTAATATGTTTGAATATAATTTACATCTGATTTATTATTTACTTCTTGATAGTAATTTCAGTTTATTCTTAGAACTCTGTAAGAACAGTGATGAAGCACCAGCTTGATTTTATTTTCACTTGCAGGAGAGAAAACTGAGGCTATCAAAAATTAAGTAAACTTACTTAAATAGCTAGTAAGTGGGAGAGGCAGGATTTAACCGCAGACCTCTCTGACTCCCAAAGCCACTGTCTAGTACACTTCATTCTTTCTATGAGGAGTATTTGAAAAGAAAGAGAGGTATCCCAACTTTAAGTTTCTATCTTAAAATTTAGCATTTTATTTGTTATAAATTCCAATAGGAAGATGCCCACAGTATTCAAAATGACCTGTCAGTTATGGTATATGCAAAGCATATTCAAAATGAATTTCTGGGTAAGGTACAGCTATGCCTCAGTTTACTTACTAGTGTCAAGGGTAGATCTTCTCTTGAAGATAGTGAGAACCAGTCAGATCATGGTAGGGAGGAAAACAGAAGTGTGATCCCTTCTTTAAGGAAGGGGACACTTCTGAAACACTTTCAGTACACATAGAGCATGAGCTTAGGAGTCATACTGCTTATAAGTAGTCTTTCAAAGTTTTCTGTGAATTAAATTCTAGCTGAAATGTTTGGCAGTTGGAAACAATTGATGAATGCTTTAAT